AGGGGGATTTGTAGTAATTGTAACCCTCCTGGAGTGTCACCTCTGCTGGCTGAAGCACTCCATCTTGTTTGGGGCTCTAAAAGCATCATAAAGGAGAGACCCGGATGAATATCTGAAGCAAAATGTTTCAAATGTATGTTATGTTGCTTGGACATATTAACCATTTCTATAAGGTGACATAAATCTGATAAGTGTTAATAGAGGGGTGGATTTAATATATTCTGTGGTTGTCAGTGTGTATATAGTTTTGCTCTGAATTATTTTTAAAGATGTGTAAAGGATCTATTTATTTATTGGATCCTGCCTGTAGATGTTAATCAACGGTACGGTCCTTGCCCTTGAGTGGCATGAGGTTGGTGTTCATCAATGGGATGGGACGGCAGTGCTGTAGCAGGAGCGTGCGCAGTGAGGCCGGGTGAGAGTTGGGTGCAGCTCCATCAAGAGAAGGAAGCGGAGTTTCCGGCTGTTTGCAGCGGAGGGAGAGGATTGCTGACTCCGCGAAAGCCCCAGAAAAACGCCGCCGGCTCGGGGGGGCTAGCAGTTTCTAGTATTGGTAGTGGTCGTTTGCTTTGGTACCAGGGGATCTGGGGGCTGGTGATATATTTTTTTTTACACGAGCCGAGAGGTCGGACAGCAAACGGAGTAAAGCGGCACAAGGCGGGGGTGAGCCACCAGCTACCGGCATGGCCAGGGACTACGATTACCTCTTCAAGCTGCTCATCATCGGTGACAGCGGTAAGGCGACGCCGGGGATGCGGGACGGGAAGTGGGCCCTGTCTTTTTTTGTTTTTCTCTCTAAGGGGAGAAGAAGAAATGCAGCTGTATGGCCGTGTTGTTCTTCTACGATGCGTTTAGAACTTATTTTCTATTTTCTGCATTGAAATGATTAGTGAATTGTACACATCCGCCATATTTATGTGGCGCTGACAGGGCGGAGGTTGTGGGCATGTCAGGCGATTAGGCCGGATATCGCCTCCAGATCTTCAGGGTTTGTCCCTCGAAGATCTGCTAGTCCTGTTCTCATATCGACTGAGGCATTTGTTTTAGCTTTACAACAAAACACACACTGTAAACCAAATAACCGTAACGGGATACCCATGCTCCTCTAATTTGGCCTCTAGTTTGTATCCCATATTAGCTGTTTTAGCTAGTTGGAAGTTAGGCTAACATTACACTTCCAGTCTTGGCTATGTAGCTAACTGTTAGCTAACGTTTGTTGAATTGAAAAGCTGGTACCACAATAAGTTGTGGTCCTCATACGTGCGATAAAGCCGCTTATGTTTGCTGCAACGCGATAATTCAGCTAAGTGAGGTTGTTCTTGAAACGCTGTTTGTTATTTAGCTAGCTAGCTAGCTAGCATGATGGTGCTAGCTGCTTGATAGTGGAGGAATGCTGCACTGCAGTTTGCATCGAGCCAGTCAAAGTAAAGTGAAGTGACACCACAAAGTGGTTAGTGTCACAACTGTCGTTTCAATTAAGAGTGATACTACAGCCCAGCTGCTGAGGTTCAAAGACCATTGACTGTGTGGTTGTCTTACCCGTGTTAAGCTTCTCTGTTATGTTCAAATACATGGCAAACAATATCACAGGTAGATGCATAATGTTATACTGATAAGGACTGCTCTTGTTTCTCTCCATTAAAGTGAAAACATGCCTTTTAAAATGTGGCTCCACCCTCAGTATAGTAGAGTATAGCCTCAGCCTGCAGCACTTCTTTTGTGGGCAATGATCTTTGCATTCATTGACAACCCCGATCCTGGCACTACCTCATCAGCTGCTCACAGTGGAGGGAAAGTCACCACAGAAATCCCTTCACTGCAACTCACACACAGAGGCCAGTGTCCCCTCAGCTGCAGCATCATGGAAGTACAAGTGTCTGTAGTGCTGCACAAAGATTATTTAGGAAAAGATGCTCTGACCTCTGCCCCTCTTCCTCAGCTTCATGTGGACTTATCTGTTGCTGAGAATCAGATATTCCAACACACCGGATCTCCAAGCTGCACCACGGCCTCTGCCACAGCAGCACACGTACATGATAAATCTGCTCATGGAGAGCGACTTGACACAAGTTGTGTAACATAAAAACTGGATGGAATATTAAAGCTTAAAAAGTACAAACGGATGATGATCTCTCTTCTGCTTTGAAGCTTTTGCCGTTGTTTGTTTGAACAAAACTCTGTGGCTCGGAGACCACAGGAACCTGAGAGCTTTTATGTTGGGACCAAACATGAGATGACAATAACACAATAGGTAGGCTGAGTAACAGGGCTGTAGGTCGAGTCCCGCCCCAGGCTGGGCAGCAGAGTCAATTCCATAACTTCCAGCTGTAACCTGACAATGTGTCTTGTTGAAGACATCACTGATCCCTCTCATCTATTTCCCTTTTTCATCTCCCTCTTCTTTGTCCTTGCCTGTTATTTCATCCTAAAAACCTATTTATTGTCGTGCACGATAATTTTAGGAACCCAGATAGATAAATCTGTTCCGTTTGTTGACTTGTCTTTGTGGCTTTGATGCAAGCCTTCCCAACTGCAGCTGCTTGCTCCTCTGTTGCATTGATTAAGCTTCTGTAGGTAAATGCGTCATCAAAACGCCTTAAATGAACGTGTTGGTGTAGCCTTGCTTACCTTAAATCCTTCACTTTGTACACCGTGACACAGGTATTACTTTGTGTACATTTGTAAAGAACTAAATTTTTAGGTGCTCAGTGATTACAGCAACGGTTGACATCTTGTTTTCGGTTTGCAGCCGTTTGTCCTCGGGACAACTGTAGTATTTAGTTTGAAGTCAAATATAAAGAATGCACTCGTTTTTATGTGTTTTTGGAAACCTGCTTTACTCTTAACCTCATCCTGTGCTTGTGTTTCCTCCACAGGAGTGGGGAAGAGCAGTCTCCTCCTGCGATTTGCAGACAACACGTTTTCAGGTGTGTGTGGTTGTGCCTCAGCCACTGTAGCGTCATTTCACGACTTTTCTACTTTGCTTTTGGAGGTCATAGAAGTTGATTTTTTTGTCGGTGTGCGTGTTTGCAGGTAGCTATATCACCACGATCGGTGTGGACTTTAAGATCCGGACGGTGGAGATCAACGGGGAGAAGGTGAAGCTACAGATCTGGGATACGGCGGGGCAGGAGCGCTTCCGCACCATCACCTCCACGTAAGTAGATCCACACACACAAGCACATTTATCAGGGGTTGTCTGGTGAAGCGAGATATTTTCAAATCTGAAACCAAGAAAAGATATTTGCGGTCCTCAGATTAGGGTTTTACTTGAGGAAACAGTTTGTAGACGACTAGAATGAGTCGGTGCTGCGCTATGAAACTGGGTGGAATTCCCCACACGTCTTAATTACAGATGTGAGAGGGAGGCTCTTAGTCTACTGTGGTGCTACATGACGGCATGGGGCTGCTCTCATGCTTCGTGTGTGTGTGTGTGTGTGTGTGTGTGTGTGTGTGTGTGTGTGTGTG